ATGATTGCTGTGGGGCCGACTTAACGGTAGTACAAGGGCTCTACTAGGGGTTCAGGGTCTAGGTTGTTGTTGCTGTTGTTGTTCAGATTTGGCTTTCGGGCTCCTTCTGAAGGATGGCTCTTGCCTTGGGGCGTTCAGGGTTGAGGGTTTTGGTTTCTTTTAGTTATGGGCCATGGGTTTTAAGAGGTGAAGGTGTGGGGTCTCAGGGCTCCTTTTAAGCGATCTGTAGCGGTTTTGACGGATGATCTCGGGCTGTAATTTCTAGAGGTTGTTTCAAGGGGTTGGTAAGGAATTGCTTCGGTTGCTTGTTCCTTAGGGTTTTGAGGGCTCCTTTCAGGCTTGCGGCTTGTGTAAAGGCTTTGCACGGCCCTGGGCCCTGCGAGGCTTTCTGGGCTGTTGCTTTGATCCGATTCCTTCAAGCACTCCGTACGGGTTTCTTGAATGCAACCTGCTGTACGGGATGGGATCGGATCGAGATTGTTTGGAGGGATTTTGAGGGCTTGCAAGCGACCCAAAGATGAACGAGCTGACGCCTACTTTGCGCCCCAAAACCTCGACCCGATGCCCAAACCCTAATGCCAACAAACCCCCAACATAAGTGATGCGACACTGAATGATTTCATCTCAAGACTGACATATTCTAGGTCCCACAAAGATTATTATGTTCATGGAAAGTTAGGATCTCTTGGCGAGCCGACAGAGACCCCATGGCTCTTTTCATGAGATTCCGGTTTCACATGACGGTCTAGGGAGAGATGTAGGACCCTGTCGATGAGGACAGCACATTCCGAAGGTCTTGCCCAGCACCTGCTCTGTCTCTTTGTAGTAGCCTGGCTTCACCAAGATTCGCAACTCCTTGCTTGACTTTAGGGTGCGTTGGGAGTTCCACAGCGGCCCCTCTAACAAGGATTCCGTTGTGCTGTAGTTTAAGAAATGCAAGCCCAACCGCCAACCCCCCCAACCCTCCAAACAAAGAAAAATAAGTACACATGATGTATTACTTGCGAACCAGGGGCTTTTACGGCTTACGGTATAACACTGGTGCAGCAAGGAAAAGGAAAAGGGCTTTTCGAGTGGTGTTCCTACAAACTTCCGATCTTCTCATGCAAAGAACCCTGGTTCTCTCAAAATAGTGCAAGTCTTCCAGCCCTAGGGTTTCATCACTTGGATCCTTCTCGCCGCAGGCAATGTAAGATTGTAGGTGGTTTATGACGCTTCAGAGGTTTTGATTCTAGGCTTTTTGGCATTGGGCTTGGAGGCTAGTGTTTCGGGATTGAGCTTCTTTTGGGATCTTCGCGCCATTTACCCAACCTTCAGCTCTTCGCCACCCGAGCACAGAGCTTGGCGGAGGAAGGTCCTAAAGTCCCGGTACTGTGACGAAGGAGGATGAGCAACTTCCCGACAAAGACTCCGCGATTGGTGGTCTTACAAAGATTGTGGCAGCCTGAAGCAGAGCCCTCAATAACGAGATGCCACAGTAGATACATAAGGGCCATAAGGCCATCGGCGAGCCTATTTAGCATGACATTCTATCATAAAATTTTAAACCCCGAGCTACAGGGGCCTTAGCATTTAGAATAGGTTTTGGGGTTATATTATACCATAATGATATTGAGGAGCCCCCAACGAAGAGTACAGGTCATTTTTTAGGCCCCTAAACTTGGCTCACTTCTGAACCCCTCCTAAAAGTTACACTTTTAGCCTCCTTATTATAATTCATATAGAAACCCAAAAAGTTAAAGTCTAAAGAGCCAACCAGAAGAACGCCAAGTAAAGTCCTAGAGCAGAGACCCCCTGCATTTGAGAACTCATCCGGCGATCATCTGTCTGGTTCTTAGTAGGGAATGGTATGGGATCCTTAAAAAGTTTAGGGTTTAGGGGGAATGGCCTTAGGGTTCCTTTAAGGGGAATCCTATAAGGGATCCTATAACGGGATCTATAAGGGGTCCTTTACTGTTTTTGCTCTTAGTAGGGAATGAGGGGATGGACTATGGGGACTACTCTTGGGGATTATACTGGGACTACTATCGGGATCCATGCCCCCGTTCCCTACTGAGCACCAGACTGTCATTGAAGGTTTCTCATGCAAACTGCCTCTGCCCGGATTAAGCGGGAGCCGAAAGCTTTGACGGCACTACTTAGAGGCCCGGGGGACTTAGTAAGTAGGTTATAAGTAGGGTTATTATTGGGGCAGTTCCATTTAGGGTAATTACTTATAATCCTGCTTATAACCTACTTGCTAAGTCCCTTGGGCGTCTAAGTAACACAACCCCACAATACGTCTTCCTGCGGAGTAGACAACAGGAAAAGATGTGCCTGATCACCCAAACATCCGATACGATGCGGAAATGTCTCGAGCGACGACTTGTTCTAAAGTATGGTCCTTAATGGAACTCCATCGAGAACAGCTACAGCTGAAGTGTGTGTGTGTGTGCGCTTAGGGTTTAGGTGCTCGTGTTGTTTGGACCGAAAATTTTAAAGCAGCTCCCACATGCAAGGCAGGCAGTACCGGATGTTCGTCGATGAAATGAAGAGGTCGAACCTGCGAACTGCGCTTGTGCTAGCTCCCAACTACGAGGGCTCAATGTTTAGGACTGCGACCGTATGCCTTACGACTGAAGGTTTAAGACATGTCTGTGCGAATGTCCTGAAGTAACCCATGGGTAGGTTTCGCTTTTTTTGGTTGGGATCTCTTGCTACGGAAGAGCATTCCCAATTGTCCCAGCTTCTTCGAGGGCCTTGTGGTAGCTCAAGACCCAATCGTGATGGTTAGAAATCAGAAACGAACGATTTTCGGCTTATGAGGCCTTCTAACATTTTGTTACAGCTGTTTGATGTATACGAGGCAGCACCAGGTTCTACACGGGATACAGGGTTTGGGTTTCCATTGGCCTTTCCGGGTTTTAGCTGAGATCGGCTGGAGGGTTCAGGAATCGGTAGGAATTTGATTTGTACCGAAAGCATCAACACTTAGAACAGATTTTTTCTTTTAAGGTTCATGGTTGATACGGGTAGGGCTCAAGGTTCAGGGGTTGGATCTACATTTTGGTGTCCTTGTACAAGGACTGTAAGGGGGGTGCAGGCCACTGCCAATTGCTCAGGCCCTAGAAACCAAGAGATTTTGCTCACGCAGTTGCGGTTCGGGCTTGCTGCTGGGTTCCATCCGGTGTGTATAAACAAGTCCGACCCATCATTGCCAGTATCTCAAACTTCCGAAAGGACACCCGCGAGACGCAGGCACCAAGATCCCTAGTGAGCCCACTTAGAGGCCCAAGGGACTTAGTAAGTAGGCTCACCCGGTTTTCTACATCCCTTGCAGAGTGCTTATAAGACCGCCTTCTACATCTGTGACTTAAGGCACCCAAAAAAGCACATAAGCAAAAACATAGGATAGGGATATCCCATATAAACCCCCTTAGAATGAAGCCCAATACGGTAGGGATATCCCTATAAGATCCTTATGCCTACGTGCTTGTTGGGTCCCTAACTTGAGGCACCCCTACCTCGAATCACAAACTCAGGGCCGAGGAGCGGATCTTCCACATTCGTATCCAACTGCCCTCGCTGTTGCATCTTCTTCACCTCGAGGCTTCAGGGTTCAAGGGTTCAAGGGCTTACGGTTTCGGGTTCATCGTTTTTTCACCCGGAGGTGTGTGGAGTTTCGAAGGTTTAGGGTTCAAGGGTTCAAGGGTTTACGGTTTAGGGTTCATCTTCTTCATACGCTCAGGGGTTTAGGGCTCATCTTCTTCACCTGGAGGTGTGTGGAGTTGACAGTTGCAGAAAAGATAGCAGCCCGAACAACTGGAACAGGTTTGTGGGGTATGGCATAATCTGTCTGTACCAAGGAGCCTAAATCGCAGCACTAGTTCTTACTATGTCGTGCGGAACTACTATAAACCCTAGACGACGCCCTAGAAGCTAGCACAAGCAGTCCTGCCATAGAAGCTCAGTTTCTCGACTGCACACCAAGCAGTAGTCTGTTTGCTGCGCAGAACAACACCGCAACCGGCAGCACTGCTTTCAACCATAACCTGAACCTGCAGGGATGAACATCGCAGGAGAAGTCTTTGGGAATGCTATGGGCGTGGAATATTAGTCCACGTGACATTGCGTAGCCTGCATGTGTCTTTTCTGACAACCACAATCTTTCTAGGTGCACCGCAAGCACAAGCTTTCGTTGCGTCTGGCTGGCGACGCCTGTCGCCATCCCAAAGCAACGAGCTATTCAACCCGTATACCGTCCACTCAGTTGTGTGCTGCCCCTGAGGTCCTGAGTAGCTTCATCGCTACATGGTGTTCTGTATCTGGTATGTAGAGTCTTGTGAAACCTTAGCTCTAAAGCCTCAGCCGAAGCAGAACTGAGGTACTCAGAACTCTGTGGGTGATTCAGCACAGCCGCTGGAACTGCTGGAAGAGCGCGAGCGGACTCATAAACGGGACTTGCGAGCATGTCGATTTACATCGACGCCTACTGTGGGAGCATCAACTTTCTCAATAACCCCCATAAGTTGGAAACTGTAAAGAGGATGAATACAGCGCTGGTATTCCCTCTAGGATTTTTGCATGCAGGGCAATCCGGACATCCAGTTTCCAACTTAAATGGAAGCATGACAAAACCTCACATCAACCAAGTAACTAGGGCACGCATCAAATACAGGGGCCTTCATGTTAGAAAAGCTATGACTCTCTAACTCCAATCTTGTAAAAGGGGACAGCATTACCAACTACTCCGACCCCTAGATTTCCTTGCATTGCCGAGCCTTGCCCTCCCGGGCCTGCCCTTCCAAACCATGGAAAATCGGGGCAGTCCTCCACAGTAGCTTGCAGTACGCTCAGGTGGACGCAGCAAGTACCGTGTTGTCCAGTTTAACAAGATGTGGAAGATGACCCGTCTCCCTCGTGGGTAAATGGACACAGCTACTACGGCTCAGTATAATTGTCATAACTGGGCAACGAGGGCAAGACTTCGCAAACCCGTGCCGCATGGGGCCACTTTTGGCTTAGCTCCTGGAGCACTCGGCGAAGAGGTTCACACCAGCCGCCTCGAAGTGAATCTGGTCACACGGCTTCCCAAACTTCGAGGCTTTGAACAGGGCATGCATCTTGGTCTCATCGCGATGTATGAGCGGCCATTCCATGACATAGTCCATAAATGCCTGCGGCGGACATGATGTGTTTCCACGGCTTTGGCGCAATTTTTGCTGCGATGACAACGCCTGCGACCTTTTAAAGCAACATGTGAGGTTCAAAGGCTTGCAGAAAATCAGACAGCAAAGGCGAACCACACGTTCCCCACTCCAATCGAAACAGTCCCGTCAGGTAACTCAAGTCTCACATGTCTCCCCCGGTCAGGTGGGGGTTTCCGAAATATAAGGGATCCTACTATAGTACCCTAAACAGTGGGATCCTCAGTGTAAGTACCCTAAAAATATGGTACCCCTGATTCTCGGAAACTCCCATGTGTACTTTACCATCGCTCTTTGTTGCCATGGCCTCTTTACCGGCCGCCTTCTTCTGAGGTCGTTTCGAAGAATTGAACCGTGCACTCCTTTGCCTTGTATAGTATAGTAGTATGGTACTAGATAGTATAGCAATAACAGTAGTATAGTATAGTAGTATAGTAGTAATAATAGTAGTATAGTATAGTAGTATAGTAGTACTATAGTAGTATAGTAATACTAGCTTCATGCCTCGAACCTCCGGCAGCCCTCATCAAGCACGGCGCCGCTTACGATGCTTTTGACCCCCGCAATCCATGAAACTCCATGCGCTCTTAGCGTACGAACTCAATTTTTGCTGAGGCCTCACATAGGTTCCGACATAGCAACGTTAGGGAAACAGCATGCTGTATAGGCACATGGACCTGTGGGCCCATGGAGAGTATCACAACCCGAAGCTGCCGGAAATTTTCCCACCTTGTCCGGATTGCCTAAACCCTAAACCCAAAACCCCTAAACTGAACCCTAAACCCTAAACCCTCAAAACCCCAGACCCCCAAAAATTTTCCCACCTTGTCCGGATTGCTTGTGTGGAAATTTCCCACGATCACTCGCCCACCCGGCCGGAGCATGTCGTGCGCCAGAGAGAGGAGCTTCACAACCATGTCCTGGGGCCCCGGGCTGGTAGATACATTAATTTTATATTCGAGTATAGTAGGGAATCGTATAGTATACTCTAGTTCATTATAGTATGTTAAAATACAGTATATTATAATATAGTAGATTACAGTATAGTATGGAACCGTATAGTGTATTATACTAGGTTAATATATTGCCGGCTGTGGGGATCCCAAAGGACTCAAAGGGGCGCTGAGTTCTTACGTAGTACAGCGTACTTACATGAGAGGATGTTAGGGCCGCTATGTTCGCAATAATGTATAGAAAAGTTTATGATATTATATTAAGTCAGTGCTCTATATTATACTAAAAAATGTGTGTAGAATCCGTCGGGAGCGTGCGTGTCCGGGCTTCGGCCGCGCTACAGTAAGTTCAGCAGTCAATCGTTCCCAACTCGGGTCGCTGTCCTACAGATGCAACCCCTCAGGCAAACATGAGACCCAGAACATGCGCAACGCCTGGGACGGTACCGTAGTGAAACGGACCGAGTGAAACGGAAAATGCTCCGGCATCTTGCTTACAGACAACACTAGGCTGATGTTGGTGGTAGCACAAGGCGACACTGTCAGCTGAAGTTACACTATTGGATCCTGCCGGTGCAGAAAGAAGCTAGTTCTCGAGGTTCGACCAAGCTTCATCGTCGAAGTAGTCGATGAGGCCAATCGTATAGACCAGGTCCTGATATCATCCCGAAGACTTGAAACTTACTGGGACCTAAAGCCGAATGAACTACTGCACTCTCACATCGGGGAGAGAGCGGAGCAACAAGCCTGACTCGCTTTTGGCTACAAGATGTGTGAGCTCCGTATAGGCCAACCCAACAACCCGAAACCCTACAACCCCACAGCAAGCGCTATACAACCCTACAGTGACAATCCTATAACCCCGCAGCCCGAAGTTTGAGAACCCTATTGCGCTATAGCCACACATATATCCGCAACCCTCAACCCCGCGCCGTATCCTGCTCTTGTACGTCCACGCTGCGACGGCCCAGGGCCAGGTGGATCAAGTTTGCCTCTGACACCGTGCTGTAGGGGTGTTTCAGGATGTAGCGCTTAAGGGTTTAGGGTTTATGGGGCTTCTAAGTTTTGGGGTTTTGGGGTATCTGGTTTACGCGGTAGAGTCGAGGGGTCAGGGTTTGGGATGAAGGTCTAGTCTGGGAGCTGAGAGGAAGTAAAGCCGTGGGGATACTGAACTGCTGGCATACCTTGAAATTGGGTTTGGGGTTTAGGGTTTAGGGGTTTAGGGTTTAGTAAAACCACTGGCCATAATATCCAATCCTAACCCAACCGCTTCTTCAGAAAATCAAGCCCAGCAACAAGCTCGTTTAGAACCCTGCTAAAACGATCGGACCCCTCAACCACCTTTCTCAGTACCCCTAGTTGGAGGCCCAGGTGACTTATAAGTCGGCGTGAAATTTGCAGGGTTAAACTTGGGTGACTCCATTTACGGAACTTATAACTCTACCTACAACCTACTTGCTAAGTCCCCTGGGCCTCTAAGTGCCGAACCCGTAAAGTCGGCGATGAAGAACCCTGGCAAGAATCCGAAACCCCAAACCCAAAACTTTGAACAAACCCCAAATGCTAAACTCAAGCCCAAAAGCCCCCAAACCGCAAACCCAAAAACACTTAAACCCCAAGAAACCCTAGACTCCAGGAATCACCGTCCCAGAAACCCATCAAAATCACCCAAAACTCGAAACTAAACCCTTAAAGCCGTGACTAAACCCTCAAACCCCAAAGAAGCCCCCCAGGAACTGCAGGAAGCCCGGTCCTTCCGAAGCCGGAGGTGTTCCGTGAGACGGCGCTCCTCCGCTGCGGCGGCGATCAGCTCCAGGGCACGCCTCAGTCTCGTTCGAAGGTCTACGGGGGTCCCTAACCTAGACCCCCGGGAGGATCTGGAAAATTTGGGGCCCTATACTGCTAAGGGTACTTTCTAGGAACACCGATTAAGGGATCTACTTTTAGGTCTACGGGGTTCCTTTTGAAGGGTTCGGGGTTTAGGGATCGGGTGTTTGGTTTAGGGATTGGGGTAGGTGTCTTTGTTCGAACCCGGAAATGGGCGCTTACAGTTCGTAAAAATAAAAGGACGTTTTAGCAATGATGATAGTGCGAATAATACTATTCGAACCCTCAGAGTGGCCCTTACAAGCAGTAATATTTTAAGAAACGTTGTAGCAGTGACGATAAATGCGATCAATAGTCGTAATGAGAGGAATACTTGTGAGAGGATTGGACCCGGACTGGTGGGCCGAAGGTTTAGTGGTGTATGGTTTGGGGGTTTCATTGGGTTGAGAGGTTTCGGGGTTTTGGGGATCCTCTAAAGGGGATCTATAGGGTAGTGTAGCTACTATTTGCTTAAGAAACCACCAAAAACTAAAAATAATAATCCCTATATTACCACCATAAGGAATACATTTTTTTTATTTTTTGGGGGGTTCTTAAGCACATAGTAGTGTAGGGTATTTAAAGGGTTGAGGCTTCAGGGCTTGGGGCTTAGGAACTGGAGCTTCAGGCTTTGACCTTGATAGGAACATCCGGATATTTTTGGTGGGGAATATGTAGGGATTGTAGTAAACTCACCAAAAAAGGGTTATGTGGGAACTTCCGGACCTTTCTTGGAATTACTTAGGGATGATAGTCCCCCCCCCAAAAAAATAAGGTTACTTACCTTGGGCACTTCCGGAGCGAGTTGCTTGTCGATGTCCAAAAGCGACGTTTGGAGCGAGGCGGGATCTGGTAAGGTCTCGTAGATGTCGAAGATCCTCACTTCAACAGCTTCTTCTGTACCCCCCTTTATTCGGTTCTTTATATGAAAAATACTCCCTAAGGAGACTATAGTCAACAGCTTCTTCGTCACGGAAGACTAGTGACCACTGGCTGTTGGGCCATTGCAATACGTCAGTGGCTGTCCCTGACTGAAATGACTTCATATTTTGGAAGCTCAAAAGTCCTCAGAGGGCCTTGATTCTGCCGTGGTTCTGAAACTTCTTAGCATCCTGCACTTCCAGCATCTGGTGAAAAGCCCAAGCCTGTTATGAACTGTTGCCCGTGACCAAGCTTGACCTCATCCCGTGGGACCTACATCCTAAACCCCACTCTAGATCTTGAGGTGACAGCTGAGGGTCTCTTGGGCAGGGCCGCAGGCCAGGCTCGTGATCTGTGCAGCCCTGCCTTCGGACGCCGCGGCAGCGATGGTTTCGGCGACCTCGTTTGCCAGGAGCCCACGGCGATTGCAGACAGCCTGAAAAGCTGGGACCTTGATAAAGAGTTCATGTAGGATGGGGCCCAGGTTGCCTTCGCCATGGAACTCCGGATTGCGGTGGTCGTACATCATCTTTATCGTCAGATAGTCCCCCGCATAACCACAAGGTTTGGTGTACATGCGGTTGGGGAGAGGGGCCAGTGCGATGATGGGGAGGAGCTCCCTTTGGATGTAACGGCCCACTGCCTTCCTGTCCTCCTTTGGAAGAACTGCGCGGTCGCCAATGTTGTTGTTCATGACGCGACGAAACTGTGCGAAGAGATGGACAAGCTGACTGAATGTGCCCTCCGAGATCGTCCCTTGCTCCGTGGCTTGGCTGTCTGCCTGGAAGAGCCCGCTCTTCAATCTGTCAAGGGCCTGAAGGATCTCCAGCGCTTCTTGGGGCAACCCGCCCTCGTCTGGGAGGGTTAGCCCGAGTGGCGCTGCCGTGACGTGTGCCACCAACCTTCCAAGACGCGCCTTGGGACCGAACGACATCGCAAAGTGATGAAACAGCCGCAACAGCTCCAAGAGGGCGCTAAGCCTTTTCAAAACTTGATCGGTTTGCATTCGTTGCATGGATCGGCATGCTTGTAACCTCTGAAGTCCATCCACACTTACGTGAAGAACCGGAACCCAACCAACTCAATCTTCCCAACAGCGTCTTTACAATACACACGTACGTACGTACATACATATATACACGTACATATACATGTGTATATTCAGGTGTGCATGTACACATGTGCGGGGGAATGCACATATGTGGACATGTATAAATGTACGTATGTAGCTAAGTGTATAATATGTATGCAAATATACCTATGTTTAAGTGTGTGCGTTTGCATGCATACATTTAGTCGCTATCCGTTACTGTTCTACTCTGTTTGTAAAAACACGAAACAAAACATAGACCTGCATACACATCTACATGTAAATGCACAGGCGCCAATACATGAATACATAACCACAGAAGGAACTACATTCGCAGTACCGAGAAACCAAACAGGCTATATGCTCGACCATGATCTCCACTTAGAACTGGGACCTTACTGTTGATGATATGAATCCTGCATTACCCATCATACGGAGTATACCATAATTCCCAGTCTCGGTCATTAGGATGCTGCAGGATTTTAATCACCAATCCTAGGAGGACAGAGCTTGACAGAAGCATCTTTGAAGAGCTCCGCCTGCTTCATACGCTTTTTCCGGTGGGTGCTGAAGCCGAGCTCCTTCTTGTAGCACCTTCATAACGTAGGAAAATGATTAAGAAACCTTGAGCCTTTATTAGGGTTCCTTACATGGATCCGATTGTTTTGGGGTTATAGGCCCAGGGTTTCTGAATCAGGCTCCTACATTAGTTGGAAAATGGGTCTATGAGGGTCGCGAGAAGCTTTAATGTAAGCATTCAGTACATTGACCAGAACCCTAACAAACAGTGTTCGATACTACTTGTAGCACCTGCGGTTCTGTGTTTTCTCGGGGTCGCCTTAGAGTTATGGTCTAGGGCTTGGGGTTTAGTGCTTGGAGCTGTGGGTATTTGCTAGAAAAATGCCACGCTTTGTTAAGGGCCCAGAGGAGACCCAACTTAGAGCAACCGAGCTACCGGGTAGTCAAGGAACATGCAACACCGAAGCCCAAAACGCTTGTTCACCACAAACCCTGCAGCCGCCATCCCCAAAACTATCCAAGGCTTTCTTTCAAATCTATATATGTATATAGATATACAGTAATAAGAAGACTAACAATACTGGTGATAATACTGATACACTATCAGCAACGAGCAGACCACAGTCCATCTGAAGACTCGGTCTGTGTGAATTCCAAGGAAAAAAACCAAGACATCACCAACATCTAAGGGTTCAGGGTTTAGGGCTCAGGTTTAGGGTTTGCGGGAATACTAAAGGTGGTGAAGACAGGAATGCAGCATGGCTTTTCTACTTTCGGAGTCCAGCTTTTGATCCCATTCTTCACGAATGTAGACACCAGCCGCGAAGTAACAATCGACGGAAATATCACTTGATACTATGCCAGCGCGCATCTCCAAGCAGCGACAAACCACGCGCCGCATGCACCCCGAAGCATGCGACCCGACAGGTACGAGTAGACAGACTGACAAACAGACAGATAAACACCCGGGGAGAGACATATAGACACAGGTATGTATGCAGATGTACGTAGAATATCTTAAAACGGAACACACGTCCCGGCAAAGTCCTTTTTCATAGGGCCGCGGCCACAAAACTGATGGCTTGGTATTGGAGATCTTGTGCATCATGAAGTGCAGGTTGACCACCTCTGAGCTGTGCTTGGAGTCCCTTGAAACAAGATTATCTCTTTGCTGCTTTCGAAGAACCTACCGAACCACCTAAACCCGGCAGTGCAGTTTTGTTGCTTCACAAGGTTACTCTTTCGTAGGGTCTATGCTACACCAAATCAAACCCACTTCCGAGCACTGCTTTTCTAGACGGATCTTTAGAACAATTCCCCCCGCCTGGTCGCGGCCGCGGTCGCCCACCTAAGTGGACTTCCGATTCAGACGAATCCAAGGCTTCAGGGTTTCCTGTGCTTGGGATGGCGAAAGAGAAGCCCAGAGAGCCCAATACTCCTTAATTAAGGAACATGGCTTATATTATATAGGGGTTCATAGTATGATTTAAGCCATATTCCTTAATTAAGGGTTATTGGGCTCTCTGGGAGTACGACCCCGCTTGTGCCAAGCGGCGATGACGAACATGCTGCGCGTGTGCGTCTTGATGCCATTTTCGACCTCAGGCTTACACAAATGGCACTTTCAGGATAAGCTCTGCTCTTTCAATTGGGATGTATAAGGGTGCGAGACTAGGATCATGGGACCCAAACCAGAAGCCGAAGCCGGCCAAGTACAGCCTTAGTCCTGCCGGGACGGAACTAAACCGAAGGATTCGTTGTACCTGTACGGGGTATAAAATAAGGGAGCCTTAGGACACACCATGCGGCTTCGGGATAAAACACTGTAATCAAGGTATAATCGAAGGCTTGAATATCTGCAATTCTTCAGGTGTCCATAGAACTCAAAGACTGCTTTTCTAAGATGCAAAGCCCTATACTCCCCTAGAACCATAATAAACTATTTCTAATCTTCTCTTGGCTTTTGTACGACTAAAAATGAAAAAACCTTCCTAAGGAGACTATAGAGCCCAAGTTACTCTGTGGCTTAGTCTATGCACCCTTAGACTAGAACCATAATAAAAATACTAGGTTTAATACTCTCTTGGGTTTTATGTGAACAAAAGAAAAACCCAAGGAAAGTATGGTAGGACCAAGGCAACGAGCAACCCAACACTCGCCTTGTACGGTGCTTGTCGAACGGTTACAGTAGGAAGGTTTCCTTGAAGGGATCCTTAAATGGGATCCGCAAGCTAGCTGCGGAGTTCTTAGGCTCAAGGAAGATTCCCCCCTCGTTTGCAAGGGGGTCATGCTGATATGAGCCCAAGAAATCTCAGATGCTCAGTATGTGGGATTTCTGGGCGGCTGTCAGCCTGATGGAAAGGCTTCAAACAATCCTAAACAAGCAGTACCTACGCTGGGGCCGAAGAAGTATATCAATCTCTCGTACTTTGGTTTTTGGGGATCTAGAGAGGGGGATTAAGGCTTCATGGCAGCTGTTGTGAATTCAGAAATTCTGACATTCAACCCTGGATTTGCGACGGAAACGACGTCTCTCGCCCAGTAGGGTAGGAAATTTCCGGCCAGTAGCCTTTAGCGCTGATGCACGACAAATCTTGGACTCCAGTCGTATCTCTACAAGCCTAACCCTCAATCGCGACTTCCAAACCCTAAACGGCCCTAAACCCAAGACCCCAAACAATGAGCCCTGAACCCTAAACTCTAGAAGCTGCCCCCACCCTGTAATAGTGACTATAAGGATTATATAGGATTATATTAGGGCCCTCTTATATTCCTATTATACCACTACTACAGGGTAGGGGCAGCTTCTAACCTAAACTCTAAAGGCCCTGAACCCTCAGCCAGAAACCAAAGCCCAGGCCCTCAACTCCTGGATGTTTTCCCCAAGCCCTAAACCCCGAACCCGGTACCCTAAACCCCAAACCCTAAAATCCCCAGGCCCTCAATCCCTGCAGGTTTTCGTTAAGATCGCGGCCAGCGTCCGTATCCGGCCGTCGACCTTCTTCCGCATGGCTGTGCGGCGATGCCGGACGGCCAGCTTTTTCTACAACTCCGAGTCTACGGCGCCCGCCTACTTCGGGGTCTGAGTCTATTGGCTTTGGGTTAAAGGGAACTGCAGAAAGTTGGAATATGGTTTCAGGGTAGGATACCTTATAATTTACCATAAAGGGTTTAGGATAATCATATTCCAACTTTCTGGCTTTTACTTTAATGGGTGATCTGGATCCCAAGGTCTGCAGCCACACCTGCTCTGGGATGCTTTGAGTGTAAGTGCAACCGTGGGCATCCAAAGGATTCAGGGTGTAAGGCTTAAGGCACGTAAGGCTTGGGGCATACGTCGGGGATCCAACTGGTGCAGTACAGCTTCGCTTTCTTGAGTGTAGAATTCAAAACAGACATGATGCGTAGACTTGAAGACGTGAGCTACCTTAAACTACCAAACCCTACTTTTTTGTAGGTTCTTGTTATAAACCCTAATATGGAATTTATAGGGACCCTACAAAAAAGTAGGTTTTGGTAGGTTAAGCTAGTACAATAGCTTCATGTCCTTGGTCACGTTGTCTCCCCGTGGAAACAACTTACCTTTGGTAGGGAATGGAAGAATGGTAGTAATAGTAGTTAATATGGTAGTAATGTGATAGTAATATGGTAGTAATATGGTAGTAATAGTAGTTATACTTGTACCCCATTCCTCGTTTCCCTACTAACCAAAGGTAAGACAAGGAGTATTGTTCAGGAGACCTGCCCATGGCAACGGTAAACACGCTGAACGCCCTGGACAAACACAGGTTGAAAGGCTGCAACCAAAACCCCAAGCACATACGTCGCCGGCTTAGGTCAGCGTCAAGGGATCCATGTTGCAGTGATAGTGTTGGGGGCTTTAGGGGTTCACGAGAAAGCTACACTTGCAGGCCTGACCTAAACCGCAAGCAAAGAGTGCTTGAAGGAACAGAAATGGCCTTGAGCTGGACCTGACAATGCGAAGCCACCTGCAAAACGCGGAAAACACATGGACATGCCTTCAAGCACCTAGACTGCCTGTCTTTTTGGAAAACGGAGATCCACGTTTTCGTGCGGTTGTGGGTGGCCCCCCGCGGTCACCAGGCCGTCGTGTCTTTCGGGGTCAGGGTTTCGGTTTGAGGGTTCAGGCTACGCTAAACACGAGCCATTGAACAGCTTGAGGACTTTGTGCTTTTATGCCCTAGGGTGCAGGGCTTGGAAAGGGGGCCGGACTGTCGAGACCGAAGTACCTGGGGCTTCTAACATCTTCCTACATTACATATGGTAAGCGAGTCTTCATGCTGTTAGGCCACTAGAAGTCTCTA